TATCGTTGTTATTCTCCAGATCTTCGTAGGTACCTTATGTCAGCTGACGTCACATTTTTTGAGCCTAAACCTTTCTTTACTTATGCTGACCACCATGATATATCTGAGGTCTTACCTATACCGACCTTTGAGGAGTTTCCTATAGCTCTTCCTCCACTTTCGACCATAGAGGTTTCATCCATACCAACCGTTGAGGAGTCTAGTGTTGTTCCCCCTAGTTCCCCAGCCACAGGAACACCACTCTTGACTTATTATCGTCGTTTGCGTCCTCCATCAGGCCCAACTGGTTCTCGTCCTGCACCTGACTTATCCGCTTAGCGATCCTGCAAGCTATAGGCGGCTGGTTGGAAAATTAAATTATCTCACAGTGACTAGACCCGACATTTCTTATTCTGTCAGTGTTGTAAGTCAGTTTATGAATTTTCCCTGTGATAGTCATTGGGATGCAGTTGTCAGCATTATTCGATATATAAAATCGGCTCCAGGCAAAGGGTTACTCTTTGAGGATCGAGGTCATGAGCAGATCATTGGATACTCAGATGCTGATTGGGCAGGATCACCTTCTGATAGACGTTCTACGTCTGGATATTGTGTTTTAGTAGGAGGAAATATGGTGTCCTGGAAGAGTAAGAAACAAAATGTAGTTGCTCGGTCTAGTGCAAAAGCAGAATATCGAGCAATGGCTATGGCAACATGTGAGCTAGTCTGGACCAAAAAATTGCTCAAGGAGTTGAAATTTGGTGAAATCAGTCGGATGGAACTTGTGTGCGATAATCAAGCTGCCCTTCATATTGCATCAAATCCGGTGTTCCATGAGAGAACTAAACACATTGAGATTGATTGTCACTTCGTCAGAGAAAAGATACTTTCAGGAGAGATTGCTACAAAGTTTGTGAGGTCGAATGATTAACTTGCAGATATTTTCACCAAGTCTCTCACTGGTCCTTGTATTGGTTATATATGTAACAAGCTCGGTACATGTGATTTGTATGCACCGGCTTGAGGGGGAGTGTTAGTTTACAGCATGTATATAGTGTAGTATTGTCCCACATTGGTAGAGGAGTAGTATGTCCTTGTATATTATAGCTATAAATAAGGACCTCTTGTATTGTATTGTTCATCCAATATTAATAACATATTTTCTCCCGTGCCTTCTCACAGATACATTCTCTCCCGTGGATAAAATTGCATATGTTCGCCTTTTTCTATCCATGCTTGCTGTTTGCCATTGGGTTCTTTATCAGTTGGACACATAATACTTTTCTCCATGGTGATTTTGAGGATGAAGTGTATATGGAGCAACCACATGATTTTGTTGCTCAGCGGGAGTCTAGTAGTCTTGTGTGTTGATTGCGTTAGTCCTTATATGGTTTGAAACAGTCTCCTCGAGCATTGTTTGGTAAGTTCAGCACAATTATTCAGAAGTTTGGTCTGACTCAATAGTGAGCCTGATCATTCTATATTGTGTCGACTTATTGCTCCAGATTCGTTTATTATTTGTAGTTTATATTGATGATATAGTTATCACGGACAATGGTCAAGATGGTATAACTAAACTATAGCAGCATCTTTTTGAATACTTCCGGACTAAGGATCTAGACAGATTGGAGTATTTCCTAAGCATTGAGGTAGTCTAAATTAGGAATTCTCATCTCATAGCATAAAGTATGCTTTAGACATTTTTGAGGAAATATGAATGCCAGGTGGTAGACCCATTAATACTAACATAGATTTGAATGCGAAGTTTACCGGTTCAGGGAGCCCCTTAGTGATCCTGGAAGCATAGACGGTTGGTGGGTAAGTTGTATTGTCTCACCGTGATACGGCCTGATATTGCTTTTCCAGTGAATATTTTATGCTAGTTTATGGACTCTATATGTGATAATCGTTGGGATGCAGTTGTTCGCATTCTTCGACAAGTAAAATCAGCCATAGGAAAAAGGATTACTTTTTGAGGATCGAGGCCATGAGCAGTTTGTCGAATACACATATGCAGATTTGGATAGACAAGTTCCGATGAACGGTCTACCTCTAGATATTGTATTCTCGTTGGGGGTAATTCAGTGTCTTATGAAAAGTAAGAAACAAAATGTGGTTGTCGATCTAGTGTAGAAGCAGTAAGTCGTGTGATGGCTCTGGCAACTTGTGAACTAGTTTTGATCGAACAATTACTCAAACACGCGATGAAATTTGCGTGTGATGATCAAGATGCTCTTCATATTGCATCGAATCAGGCGTTTCATGCGTCCACTTGAAAAAAAGATACTCATGAGATATTGTCACAAAGTTTGTGGAGTCAAATGATCAGCTTGCAGATATTTTCTCTAAGTCCTTTATTGGTACTCAATTTAGTTTCATTTATAACAAGTTTGGTACATACGACTTATATGCACTAGCTTGAGGGGGAGTTTAAGAATATTGTGTATATTAGTTAAAATCATTAAGGGAGATATTGCGTATTTGTAATTATGTAGCCTTGATTCCTTTCCTAGTTTAGAATAAGTGCATGTTCGATTAACACCAAATAGCTTGGGAGAATAGTCAAGAAGTGTTTTTCTATCAATCTCCTTTTCCTTGTTTCATTTCTCACAAGAACATCTCAAATGAACCTGTGATCTAAATGACATTTTCCCAAACCTAGTGTATCATGCTGAATTTTGTCAGCTTGTGAAGTTTTGGTAACATGGCCTTACTTTTGCGTAGGAGACTCCAAATAACTAACCGTTTGAACCGTAGGAAACTAGGCTTCAAGATCTACAGTTTTGTTTTAAAATTTTAACCAAATTCTTTTTATATTAAGTACTGTGTTTCTTCGAAGTTGAGGCATGATTCACTTGTTAGCGTAAGCACAAGTTTTCAACTCCTCTTGTTTCCAAAGCGGTCTAGGCTTAATATAAATTACACCAACACATCAAGCCTACATTTTTTCTCATGTTGTATGTGTGCACGTGTGTATTTGTGTGTGGGCATGTTAGAGTAGAGTCAAGTAATGGGCCAGTTGAGTTAAATATTAGATACTGTATTTATACTAATGTCACTGCTTGCCATTAGACTTTTTTCTTGCATTGTATTTACATCTGTGTTTCTTAGCTATTAGAACTATACTCTTTATGAAATTCAGGATAATCCATGATACTCCATTTGGAGTAATGCCCTTCCATTTTCTAGACATACAGAAGGAAAACCCTACTTTCAGCGATTACCCTATGCTCTAAGCCTTGTAGAAGATGCTTATTTGTAAGTAGCTATACTTATTTTCGCCTTGACCGGCAAAATTGCTTTTTGGATCGTTGTAATGCTTTTCTTCCTTTTTTTAAATTTTCCTTGTGCTGTTTTATCTTTCTTGTTCTATTGTATTCATGTTCTATGGCTCCCACCCTCTCACTAAAGTGCTGAAATACTTATATAGGATTTAGTTGTTGCTGTTGAGAAGATGAACTCATTCCTCCGCACGAAAAAGACTAGGCCATACTCCTTCCAACAAGATGAAATTGCGGTATTAGATTTAGGTATGTGTTTTTCACCTTGTTACTTTTTCATTTTACATTTGTGTATATGTTAATTAAGGACATGGAAATGTAGTTGTCATTAACTGAATATTTACATTCTAGCGCCTTAGCTAATTGCTCTAAATAATTTTATGGTCTGGTTCCTCTGACAAAATTTCCACATGCCTTATTTTCGCTATTTCCTTTAGGGAAGATAGATTTGCATCTTGTCTATGGACTATGGATGCATTATTGGAAGATGCAGATCGCCTGAACTGTGAATTGGTTTAATCCAATATGCATTACCAATGTGTACCTTGTTGGTAATAATCATATTTTGCAGAAACGTTTCCAAGAATGTTAGTGTCATGGAAATATTATTCAGATTATTGTTATAAGGGTGAGCCTCTAGGAAATTTGAATACCATGGCCCTTTAACTGTTATCATGTGAAAGTATTTACTTCTTTCTCATTCACGTGGGAAGATGTTTTTGGACCTTGGTGGGTAATGGGACAAGAGGTTTGACTTTTTAATACTCTTTGTCGCAATAGATTAAAGGTTTGATGTTTTCGGTTCCAAAAAACACAGGATTCAGACACTCGAGTCCCATGATTACTTCGAAAACTTTAGTTGGTGGTTCTAACTATTTAGCTCGGGGCTCTTCTGTTGGATTATGTTGTAAGGGTCAATGCGTCCATGATCACTTGACTAGACAGCCTATAGATGTTGATGAGAAAGCTTGAGACTTTTTTTCCCACTTCAGTAATGGCAGACTCACCAGATGCCATGTCAATGATGCGTGGTCTATCAGTAGTTCGGTTGGTCCACATGTTCATGTTGTTACGTAGTTAGTCATGTATATAGTGTCTCACATCGGGAAGTAGATACCTATTATTATGTAATCACTGTATATAAATAGGGCGTTGTACAACACTTTAATTAATTAATAATATTTTCTCCCGTGCATTCTCACATGGTATCAGAGCAACTAATGAGAAATCCCCGCTGTGCAGTTACCAGCGAGTCTAGGACAGTCAGCGTGCCTTTTTTCCGGTGACTTTCAGGCTGTTTTTTTACGAAATCCCTTCTCCGGTAGGGTTTTTACGAAAAATAACACCGCCAGCAGGTGCGGATTTCTCAGACGACCAAACCCTAAAAAATCACACCGGCAGAACCCCTTCCACGCGCTCTCACGCGCCTCCAGAGCTTTTGATGCCGGTGGCACGTCAGACCCACGCGCCGGCACATGAACAGTGTTCCGGCCATTTTTTAGAAAAGTTTCTTCAGGACAGCCTTATCGCCTAGTAATTCCGACCAGGCCCATACTGTTTTCTTTTTATTTTGAGCGCTTTGAGATTTTTCCGGCGACTAGTAATTTTTCCGGAGTGAACAGTGAGTTTCCGGCGAGAACAGTAATTCCCAGATTTTTTTTGTTTTTTCCGACGCAATATTATAATGGCATTCATATCAGAAGCCTTTAACTCACAATCCGTTGGATCCAATGTATTGAATCCAATCCAGATGGTTTCTTTACCGGATTATATTGAGTTCCTTCAGTACAAAGCATGTAAACAGACATCTTCAGGGATAGCTTCCGTTGTTCAAACAGATAGAAGCGTGACTTGTGTCTCCCAATCTTCAACCTCTGAGTCTTGGGTTATCTGATCATATTTCTGGTAACAAATCTCTTTTCACTACTATTTCATGTTCTCAATCTCTCCCAACAGTCACAATGGCCAACGGGTCTCAAACCATGGCAACTGGAATAGGTCAAGCAAGTCCACTTCCTTCCTTACCTTTAGATTCAGTTCTTTATGTTTCCGGTAGTCCTTTTAATCTCATAGCCGTTAGTCTCTTAGCCAAATCACTTAAATGCTCTGCTTTATTTCTTGATGACCTTGTTTTTATACAGGAACACAGTACAGAGTAGATCATTGGTACCAGGCGTGAATCAGATGGACTTTATTACCTTATCCTTGCAAAATCATATGGACTCACATCTTGTCTTCATTCAACAACTTGTCCTGTTACCGATTCACCAGATTTATTACATAAACGGTTGGGACATCCCAATTTGTCAAAGCTTCAGAAAATGGTACCTGATTTATCTCACTTGTCCACTCTAGAGTGCGAGTCATGTCAGCTCGGTAAGCATACCCGCTCCCATTTCCCTCGGAGTCACCTTTTACTTTAGTCTATTCGGATGTTTGGGGTCCTAGTCGGGTCAGTTCTACCTTGGGATTCCGCTACTTTGTCAGTTTCATTGATGATTATTCCAGGTGCACTTGGATATTTTTGATGAAAAATCGATCTGAGTTGTTTTCTATTTTTCAAACGTTCCACGCTGAAATTTAAAATCAATTTGGGGTTTCTATCTGCACATTTCGTAGTGATAATGCCCTAGAGTATTTGTCTTCCCCATTTCAGCAGTTTATGAACTCTTATGGGATTGATTATTCATCAAACATCTTGTCCGTACACATCTCAATAAAATGGGGTAGCTGAAAGAAAGAATAGACATCTTATTGAAACTGCTCGTACCCTACTCATACAATCTCATGTTCTGTTGCGTTTTTGGGGGGATGCAGTTCTTACATCTTGCTATCTTATTAATCGTATGCCATCTTCTGCTATCCAGAATCAAGTTCCATTCTCTGTCCTGTTTCCCCACTTACCTTTGTTCTCTCTACCACCCCGAGTCTTTAGAAGCACGTGTTTTGTTCATAACCTTACTCCAGGAAAAGATAAGTTAGCTCCTCGTTCTCTAAAGTGTGTATTTTTGGGTTACTCGAGAACGCAAAAGAGGTATCGATGCTATTCTCCTGACCTCCAGCGGTACCTTATGTCCGCTGATGCCTGATGTTACCTTCTTTGAAACCCAATCATACTTTACAGGTCCAGGTAATCACTTAGATATTTCTGAGGTGCTACCAGTTTTATCTTTTAGAGATTCAGTCACTATCTCCCATTTATCTTCCTCTACAATTCCAGCTCCACCACCTACAGCTCCAGTTGTAGCTCCACCACCTATAGCTCCAGTTCCACCACCTAGTCCAGTTCAACCTTCTGTAGCTCCACCACTCTTGACTTATCATCGTCGTTCACGTCCTGCATCAGATTCTGCACCTACTCTGGACTTGTCTCTTCTTAGTCAACCAATTGCACTCCGCAAAGGTGTACGATCCACACTTAATCCTAATCACCATTATGTCGGTTTAAGTTATCATTGTCTGTTATCACCTCATTATGCTTTTATATCATTTTTGTCTATTGTTTCTATCCCTAAATCTACCGGTGAGGCACTATCTCATCCAGGATGGCGATAGGCTATGATTGACGAGATGTCTGCTTTACATGCGAGTGGCACTTGGGAGCTTGTTCCTCTTCCTTCAGGTAAGTCTACTGTTGGTTGTCGTTGGGTTTATGCAGTCAAAGTCGGCCCGGATGGCCAGATTGATTGGCTTAAGTCTCGTCTTGTTGCAAAAAGATACACTCAGATTTTTGGGCTTGATTATAGTGACACTTTCTCTCTCGTGGCTAAAGTAGCATCTATTCGTCTCTTTTTGTCCATGGCTGCTGTACGTCATTGGCCTCTTTATCAGTTAGACATTAAGAATGCTTTTCTCCACGGTGATCTTAAGGAAGAAGTTTATATGGAGCAACCACCTGGTTTTGTTGCTCAGGGGGAGTCTAATGGTCTTGTATGCCGATTGCGGAGGTCACTATATGGTTTGAAACAGTCCCCTCGAGCTTGGTTTGGTAAGTTCAACACAGTTATTCAGNGACTCTTATGGATCCGAATGCTAAGCTTCTGCCTGGACGAGGAGTGCCTCTTAGAGATCCTACGAGATATAGGAGGTTGATTGGCAAATTGAATTACCTCACAGTGACTAGACCTGACATTTCTTTTCCAGTGAGTGTTGTAAGTCAGTTTATGGATTCTTCATGTGATAGTCACTTGGATTAAGTTGTTCGCATTCTTCGGTATATAAAGCCAGCTCCAGGCAAAGGATTACTATTCGAGGATCGAGACCCTGAGCAGATTGTTGGGTACACAGATGCTGATTGGGAAGGATCACCTTCTAATAGACATTCTACGTCTGGATATTGTGTTCTAGTAGGAGGTAATTTGGTCTCTTGGAAGAGCAAGAAACAAAATGTAGTTGCTCGATCTAGCGCCGAAGCCGAATATCGGGCCATGACTATGGCAACGTATGAGGTAGTTTGGGTCAAGCAGTTGCTCAAGGAGTTGAAGTTCGGAGAAATCAGCAAGATGGAACTGGTGTGTGATAATCAAGCTGCTCTTCATATTACGTCAAATCCAGTGTTCCATGAGAGGACTAAACACATTGAGATCGACTGTCACTTTGTCAGAGAAAAGATACTTTCAGGAGATATTGTTACAAAGTTTGTGAAGTCGAATGATCAGTTAGCAGATATTTTCACTAAGTTTCTTACTGGTTGTTGTATTAGTTACATTTGTAACATGCTCGGTACATATGATTTATATGCACCGGCTTGAGGGGGAGTGTTAAGTAGTTAGTCATGTATAGTGTCCCACATCGGAAAGTAGATATCTATTATTATGTAATCACTGTATATAAATAGGGCGTTGTACAACACTTTAATTAATTAATAATATTTTCTCCCGTGCATTCTCACACATGTCTTAACGTATCAAGGCTTGTTGTAAATTAGTTAACATCAGTCACATGACTCACATCTAAGCCTAAACCAATTGCAGCAGTGCCAAGAGCTTAAGTTTGGAAAATGTTGATAACTATTTCTGTCACGACCCAAATCTCATCAAGTCGTGATGACACCTAACTCAACCCGCTAGGTAAGCCTACCAACATATCTCACAGCTTGAACTGAAATCATCAAATAAATAATGGAATAAAAATGCGAAAATCAATACAACTATCCCAAGGACTGACAATACAAGTCATGAGTGACTAAGAATAGGAGTACAAAACTAATATGAAGAAACTTACATTTGGAATATAGATAAACAGAAATACAAGTCCCAAACTACCATGAACAAAATAGTAGCTTGCAACTGGAACGCTGGTACATCTTAAATGCTAGCCTTCGTCTTCCACAACAGCTTAGCTCCAAAATCTGCACGCAAGGTGCAAAAGTATAGTATGAGTACAATCGACCCTATGTACTCTTTAAGTATCAAAACTAACTTCAACGAAGTAGTGACGTGGTTTAGTCAAAAGATACTCACTTTATATAACCTGTGCAACTCATAAGCGTATACAATAATAGAGAAATATCCAAGAAATAGCCAAATAACATCGGATATCAGCAATAAGGTGCACAATTCAAGAAGAAAGTAATAAGCATGCTTTTCAAGTAACCAGATCAAAGCATGTACAAATGCACCAAATCTGCATATCAAGGAAATGTACACTAAATAACTTAACTCAAGTACTTTTACATGATCGCAAAGGGACTATGCATGATAAAGATCCATTTTCTCAGAAATTTTTCGATAGCATTTATATGATCTAACATGAGTCTACGTGTCAATGCATGATAAAGACTATATATACATCAAATCTGACACTCTCCAAGTGTTCAACAATCCGCTAATAAGTTCCATGCATATGAAAAATGCATGAATGTACATATGTCAATTTATGTATGAATGTTTCTACCCAAGTGTAGGATGTCAATATATGCTGAAGACTCAATCCTTTCCACATAATCAATACCAATACACACATTGTGCTCATAGGGCCCAAGGTACAATGGGTGATCACCTGGCTCCGGAGAGACAAATCCATATCCAAGCGCTGCACGGACAACTCACGTGCTACATAGACAACTCACATGCCAATAATAATATCACTCGCACAGACAACTCATGTGCCTTAAATATACCAATTTGCACGGCCAACTCACGTGTCATACTCAATATCAATACTAAAATAATCGCACGTCAGAAACCTCATGCCATAATCATCTCAACTACACGGACAACTCACATGCCATTATCTCAGTTCATATGAGAGAACCACATATAGAGATGTATACATATGAATAGGAGATAAGCATGTACGATACACATGTGCAGAGAAATAACTATGCAGGAATGTATGCATGAGTACAAGAGATGATCTCTAGGCATGAAGTGTGCCTATGTGTATCGTATGACTACAGCCCCAACCTATAATCCATCCTCCAAATAATCATTATGTCCAATTAAGATCAAAAGCCTAAATATAATCTCTAACATGAATATGGAAACTCAAGTCGTCATACAACAGTTAAGGTATATCACAAGAATAACAAGTATGGATGCACGTTTATAATATAACGTGTGACCATGACGCATATCAAGTATATCAACAATCTCAAAAATAGTCCATCGGGCTCAAATAAAATTTCATAAGTTAAAACATGATCTCTAGCATGAATGACTATGCCCACGTAGTCGTAAAATCAAATAGAGCATAAGTCAAGAAGAATACACATCCGATCTAGGCATAAAGAACCTCGCATATATGTCACCCTAAAAACACATAACACGTAGCAAATAATTCTATTTTTAGAAAATCATTCCCTCAATCGAGGCTTAGCAAGATACTTACCTTATCCGGGCTAGACTTCAACTCGTATCACATCTTTCCTTTGTTCTTGACCTCCAATTGCCCAAAACCTAACCAAATATCATTCAGGAAAGTCAAATAATGCTAAAAGAAGCAATCCCTATCAATAAAGCTTCAATCAAAATCCCCAAAAGTCAACAAAAATCAACACGGACCCACATTGTCAAAACCCGAAACCAAGACCAAATCTCAATGACCCATAACCCCATGAGTCCAAATATGTGATTATTTTTCAAATCCATTGTCCAAATCGATGATCAAAACCTCAAAATTCTCTTAAGTTGTAGAAAAGAAAATCCAAAATTACACTTTGAAATTTTATGTTTTAGGTATAGAAATCCATGAAAAATCAAGATATATGATCAAAATCAAGTAGAAATTAGTTACCCTCAAGATATGGGTGAAATCCATATCCAAAAAATCGCATATTCTCGTGCTCCAAAACTTAAAATAGTGAAAAATGAGCAATTTTCGAAATTCTGGACATAAAATACCCCTGACAGTAATTCCTTCTTCGCGATCACGACTGCTATTCATACGATCGCGATGCACAAACTGATCTAGGCCAAATTTCCTTCTATGCGATCGCATATGCTCCTCAAGCGATCGCGATGATCAGCCAGGCCCCCCTACACGATTGCGGTCAAACCCTCGCGACCATGGTGCACTTAACCTCCCCCGGCCCAGCTCCTCTACGCGAACGTGGACAAAACCCATGTGACCGTGATGCTGTACCAGCCAACACTTTGTGATCACGGTCCTCCTCCTCGCGACCGCGAAGAACAAAACTTCGCCTGCCAAGTTCCTTCTACGAGATCATGGCACAAGCCTTACGATCATGATTCACTTCACTGACACTAGAAACCAACAATTCCAAAATGGCTCAAAATGATCCGAAACCACCCCGAAATTCAGCCGAGCCCATTGGGACCCCGTCCAATCTCACTAACTAATCTGTATACCTTCCACGAACTTGTCCAAAGTACTCAAAACACGAATAACAACATCAAAACCAAGAATCAAAGATCAATCCAAATTGTGAAATTCTCTTAAGTTCGTAAATTCCAACTTTCAACTAGAAGCGTAAGAATCATTTCCAAGCCACCCGAGGCCCGAACCAAATATATGTATAAGACCAAAATCATCATAGGAACCTATTGGAACCTTCAAATCACCAATCCGAGCTCGTTCACTCAAAAGTCAAATCTTGGTCAACTCTTTCAACTTAAAGCTTCCAAATTAAGAATTACTCTTCCAAACCGCTCCCAAACCTCTCGGAAAACAAAACTAACCATACTCGCAAGTTATAATACATTATATGACGCTACTCAAGGTCTCAAATCACAGAATGGAATGCTAGAACTCAAAATGACCGGTCAGGTTATTACAATTTCTCATACCTTGGGGGGAGGTTGGTCTTTCCTTGCGGTTAAGCGATCATTACCTTAGTAACATGATTTTCCGGGGTGTAGTTTGTTTGGGGGAAGTAGGTTGTCTTCATTGTTATTAGAAGCCTTATTGAGGGAAATATACTCTATACCGACTGGGAGTCATATTAAAACCAACTCATAAGGAAATTTACCCTATCTTGAGATTTATTTTGCAATTTGTGAATGATTCATTGTACCTACCACTTGATCCTCGTTTTGGTTGTCTTTTATTTTGTTGACTTTTATTCATTGCACCTACCCTAGCTAGTTTCCACTTGGTATACTTGTTATACTTATCTTAGAACTGAATGAACATATCAAACAAGAGCGAGACATTCAATGTCAAGCAAACTATTTAGGAGATCAATTCTTTTAGGTGCAACTGGTTGGTCATTTAGTCCATCTTTTAGTCCTAAAAATTCTCAGGCAAGCAGTCCGTAAAATGGATTATCATCTATCAACTATGCGGATTCAGCTCTAACTTTAGGTATGATATAAAAGGATCTGTTGTTACTTGATATAATATTGAGCTTGCATGTATGTCCGTAAAAGTATGTGTGCTATTTTTAACCTATGTTTACAACACTGCAGATATTGCTCACAAGGAAATCAAAATAACCAATAATCTCCTTTCCGTTTATTTCCCTTCTTTAGTTGAATTGTTTTAAAATGTTCTTTTGTTCTTTTCTTTTCCAGCCATAATAACTAGCCATAGAGTAATTGGTTCTTTGTTGGTGCAGGGCATAAAGCTAGATCTTATCTGCTGCTGCTCATAAATATGAGTCGAGTAATAGTAGAGACAAGTGGTGGCTTGATTTGTTATAGAATCTTATACTAGTGTGCATTGACTGCAGAGATGAAACTCATTGATGTTAACAAGTTAGGAATATTCAGCTGAAGTGTGTGTTTTTAATGATATGATCTTCTTGATCAAAAAAAAAAGGGCATAACAATATTTAATGCCCATTTAGTATGGTATTAAAGGCTCATTTATTTGCATCTTGAAGTGCTTACGTTGTTCAAAATTCTTACTATCTGTTTTGCTACCTCCCACCAACTCATATGCTAGGAAATTTTGTCTGCCAAAATTTAGCAAATGAAAAGCAATTTTCTTCTAGTGTTTTTTTTTTGTTTTTGTTTTTGCTGTGATCTGAATTCAAGTCTCCGTAAGAAAGAAACAGAGAGTTGGGTGTTCATATCCAATTCTTTAATTGTCTTCCCCTTTGTCCACCTTGCAAGCTTTGTGTTTGATTATTAGTGGGGATGGGTGGGGATAGATAGTTAACTGATGATTAGTACACTCCAATTTACAAAACACGTAATTACATGCTATAATAACATTCAAAAGTTTTTTTTAAAAATAAATATATATTTCATTAAATATAAATTTTCCCCTTAAACCTACTATTTTGTTGCTCCTATTGTCATGAGAATTTTTTATGAGGATGACTTGTTACAACAATTTTGTATTTAACTAGTTTTTTCTACTTATTAGTTAAAGTATTTTTTCATGTTTTTATAAATTTTTTCATTATTTTATAAACAAGACATAATAAATTCTAGATTATATTTACATGAATTGGATAAAAATAAATTTACAGTTGGATCTTCTATTAATTAATTCAAATAAATTTTTTTTATGTAGTACCATTTATTCTTTTGCAACATTCGTTACACAACTAAAACTATATAGTTAACAAAACGATTTGACAGGGATGAGGAGGGTGCACATCATAGGGATTCACATTTTGTGATAAAAAGAGATACTCATGCTTACTTTGCTAAATCCTACGAGCTTTCTAACAGAGGCGGCTTTATACCAAGAGGCTCGAATCGAGTCCTATGTTTAAGGATAACATAGAGCATTTCTAAGAGAAGACCAAACATAAAGCTCCATCATTCAAGTGATATCTTCATGGAAGAATGCCACTAATCACTCAAAACCCTATTAAGTCCAAGATTTCCTCACTGAGAAATTGATAGTGATACAAGTTGCTATTTGCTCCTTCATTGATCGTTGTGGTGGTTGGTGCTTTATTGTGCTTAATAGGAGTAATTCCATCTGTAGTAGTATGACATGGCTGTACGATTCTTCCTTCTACAAATTTGGCAAGGGATTTGTAATTGTCGTTCCATTTGATTGTTTGATTGTTAGCTCTCCAAATGATTTCTGATTTTGGTTGCTTGGCTTGAAGCCAAATCCTCTGCCTCTTCCTTGTCTTCTTCCTCCATAGAAATTTCCTCTCTTCCTCTTCCTCCTCCAAAGGAGCCTTGGGTTCAGTTTGACTACTTGATTAACACAATCCTTTTCTTCATCTTCTTCTCTCATGTCAAAACCCTTAATGCATTAAAAATTGAGTAAAAGTAAGGATATGGAGGTTTACCCAATATTACCATTCTTAAAAATTTGTACTTGCTTCCGGATCTTTAGCAAAACTTATAATTTTGCTATCTTCATCTAAAGATTTGTGTATAGTTGTAACAACCACAACAACAACATTTTTAGTATAATCTCACGAGTGGGGACTTGGGAGGGTAGTATGTACACCTTACCCCTACCTTGTGCAGGTAGAAATATTATTTCCGATAGACTCTCGGCTCAAGACAAACATAAATACAACAGTTTAGAAAAGGAAATACAGTAATGAAGAAGTCAAAAAAAGAAGAAGCAGTGCCAACAACAAAATAATAATATAACCAAAGAAGTAACAACATCAAGTAGTAGTAGACAATCTTAAAATAAGGAAATACTAGAATAATACAAAAAAATAGCTATAGGAAGGAATAATGCTCGACTACCTTCTAACCTTCTTCCCTAATTGTTGACCTTCACACCCTCCTATCAAGAGTCTTGTCCTCGGTAAGCTGAAGATGTGTCATGTCCTGCCTAATTACCTTGCCAATACTTTTTTGGCCTACCTCTACCTCTCCTTGGACCCACCATTGGCAACCTCTCACACCTCCTCATTGGAGAATCCGTACATTTCCTATTCACATGCCTGAACGATCTCAACCTCGCTTCCCACATTTTGTCCGGGGGGGGGGGGACAACCCTACCTTGTCCCGAATATCTTCATTTCTGACCCTATCTCTCATAGTGTGGCTACACATCTATCTCAACATCCTCATTTTCGCTACTTTCATCTTCTGGACATAAAAGTTTTTGACTGGCCAATACTCTGGTTCGCACAATATAGTCGGTCTAACCACTATTTCTAGAACTTATCTTTAAGTCTTGGTGGGGCATTTTTATCACGCAAGACACCTGATGTAAACCTCTACTTCATCCATCCTACTCCAATATGATGTGTGAAATCATCGTCAATCTCTCAATTACCTTGGATTACTGACCCAAAGTAATTGAAACTTCCTCTCTTAGAGATGACTTGTGTATTTTTCATGTCAGCCTCATGAGTAATGTCACCGAAGTTGCACTCCAAGTATTCTATTTTAGTCATGCTCAGCCTGAACCCCTTAGACTCCAGGGTCCGTCTCCAAACTTCCGACCTAGTATTAACTCTGCCTTGCGGTCTCGTCAATCAGTACTATGTAATCTGTAGATAACATGCACTGTGACACCTCCCCTTGAATATGTCTCTTCAATTCATCTATCACTAAGACAAATAACAATGGGCTAAGGACTGATCCCTAGTGCAACACCATCACGACTGAGAAGTATCTCGAATCTCTTCCTACTATCCTTACCCGGGTCTTAGCTCTATCATACATGTCTTTAATTGTCCTTGTGTATGCTACATGTACACTTTTAGCATCCAAATATCTCCATAAAATCTCCCTTGGGACATTGTTATAAGATTTTTCTAGGTCAATGAACACCATATGCAAGTCCCTCTTCCTCTGCATATATTACTCTACCAATCGCCTTACAAGATGAATGACTTCTATAGTCGATCACCCCATCATTGAATCTGAACCGGTTCTCAAAAATTGATACACTCCCCTTTACCATAATCTCTACTATCCTCTCCCAAACATTCATAGTGTGGATTAGCAATTGATACTTTTATTTTGTTATAATTTTGAATATCACCCTTGTTTTTGTACAACGAAGTCAATATTCGACTTTTATTTTTTAGGCATTTTAGTCGTCCTAAAAATGACATTACATAACCTAGTAAGAAACTCTAAGCCTGGCATGCCCCCGTCCTTCCAAAATTTCACAGGGATCTCGTCTGACCCTGTCGCTATCCCTCTACTTATCTTATGCATAGCCCCAACACACCTACAATATCCAAATTCTCGACGACTCTCGAAGTACTCTAAATCCCCCAGCATATATTCCTATCCCTCTCTTCATTCAAGAGTTTATAGAGTCTGCCATCTCTATCTAATATGTGGCTTCTTCTATCAATACTTTACCTTTCACGTTTCTTATGCAGTTCACTTGGTCTAAGTCATGAGCCTTTCTCTCTCTCGCCTTGGCTAGCCTATATAGCTTTTTGTCTCCGCCTTTGTCCCCAAGTTCTTCATATCAACATCAAAGTAATGATGTCTTTGCTACCGTAACCGCCAACTGTCACGACCTAAAATTCAACTAGTCGTGATGACACCTAACCTAACCCGCTAGGTAAGTCAACTTTCAATTATCCAATTTTATTAACAATTATTAAAGCAATTTAAGTAAAGAAAAAAAAATCTTAATTTTATACATTCCCCAAGAACTGGTAGTACAAATCATGAGCTTCTAAGAATAGAGTATAGAAAGCTAGTATGAAGTAAATACATCATCTGTTTGAAAAGTATATAAATAGAGTTCTATAAATCTACGGCTACCATGAACAAGAAGCAGCTACAACCGGAACGCAGGTACATCTTCAGATCCAGCTACCATTGAGCATAACAACAACAACAGCCAACATCTGCACGCAATGTGCAGAAGTGTAGTATCAGTACAACCGACTCTATGTACTGAGTAAGTAACAAACCTAGCCTTAGGTTAAAAAGTAGTGACGAACTTTTACCAAGGTCGGGTCCACCACCAAGTACCAACAACAGTTCATAATAACGTAAGGCAAAATAATACAAGAAGTAATCTCAGGGATAAGATGCTCAGCAAAATCATGATTTCCGAAAATAGTTCTGCCTTTTCAAGTACATCAGTGAAACCCAAATCGTTTACCGAAGTTGCCAAAAATATGAATAAGTTTGAAAACAATAATTTTTTCCCCAAAAATCCTTTCAATAATAATAAATAAGATGTTTAATTTGATTTCCAGATAACCAATGTAAAACAAATGCATCACTATGCCCATCTCTCAACATGTGTGATAAATCATGAGTGATGTAATACCGTACAACATGAGGGAAATATATCTCGATGCCTGTATGTCATGTATTCATGTCAATGCAATGTATCCCAGAAATGAATCATGTACTCACACTCTCAGAGTACTCAATCTCATTATCTCACACTTTTCACTCATCATGCTCAACCACTCGGTACTGTATATGGCCCATGGAAGATCCATCCCGGAATATATACATCACTGACCATCAGTCACTCAGTACCGAGGAAGGCCAATCCGGCCCCATGGAGAAGATCCATCTCCAGGTATATAAATGCTCCGGACAAGATCCATGTCCAGTTAAGATCCATCCCTCAATATAATCAACCACGCTCACTGGGGGTGTACAGACTCCGGAGGGGCTCCTTCAGCCCAAGCGCTAATAACCGCACGGATAACTCATGTGCAATAGTATCAATATCAGAATCAATCAGGCCCTCGACCTCACTCAGTCATCAATCTCTCCAGTCTCTCTCTCATGGGCTCACAATGTCATGAAAACAGCCCAAAAATGATGATATAATGTATCAATAAATAACAATAGAGACTGAGATATGATATGCACCTCGAACAAGACAAATCCAATGCCGAGCAAGCTAAACAATGCTCCAGAAATCCCATTATGCGCGTATCAACTTTCGAATGGCTCGAATCTAGTCACAATTAATTTGATTCAGCCCACAAAATTTATAA